CCTTGCTAACCCGGACGTGACATCCCATAGCCCGGCCCTCCCTGCCGGTCACCACACGCAAGCTCCTGCGGCGGCAAACTAATGACGTCACATCCGTTTCTGCCTCCCGGTCCAGGACCGCTCTAGGCTGCGACCTCGCTGGCCCGCCCGAAGCTTTGTGGTTGCTGGGCAGGGCCGTGACGTTCTTGCCCGGGCTGCAGGGGGAGGCCGCGGCGGGGAAGATGGCGGACGGGAAGGCGGGAGAGGAGAAGCCTGAGAAGCCGCAGCGAGCCGGAGCCGCCGGAGGTGAACACAACCCCAGCGTCGCGGGCTGCGGGGGCTACTCCGGCCTTTCTTTGGGTTTCCCAGGGTGGGGGGCTTTACGGCATCTCAGGAGCGGGCGGAGCTGGCGCTCGCCTGGCCAGGGGCTGGGCCCTGATGAGTGCCGGGCACGCCCGGTGTGGCCCGCGGGGGATCGAGGTCCGCGTCGCATCCTCAGAGAGGCTGCTAGTTACCACCGGGCCGTGAGAAGGGAGATGGGAGACTGAGCTTGGACTGGGAGCCCAAACAGCAGGGAGCTCAGGGCCCGCTGCGCACTCAGGCCTCCGCGCGAGAGCCGAGCCGCCGCCGCGGGCACTGGCCGCATGCCGGCTTTCCGAGAGCTCCGGCCTCTCGGTTACACGTAGTTAATTAGGTTTGATGCTCTCTTTTCCCTGAGGAGGTGGAAGACCCCAGCCCACTCTTTGCTGTATTTTCAGACATAACATTTATAAACCCTGCGATGGCATAAGTCGAGACGATGAGGGGGTTGGCGGGGGATAGGGGATCTGGGCAGCAAAAGCTTGAAATTAGGATTTGATTCGCTTTCTTTACAGTATCTTTCTTAGGCTGCTAACAGCGAAGTCTGTCAGCTATTTAGTTGGCATGGTAGGCAGGTATGATTTTCCTGTAATATGTCGCGAAATTAAACTCAAATTATAGCTGTCTTTTCATCCCTCCTACCCCCGTAATTTTTGGTGGTGTACATAAAGGAAAAGAAATACGTAGTCTCTTTTCTCCTACGCCTTTTTGTCGTAAGGATAATTAACACATGTGAGCGGATAATGTCTTCTTTAGAATGTTTTACCCTTTCACTGTTTTTTCAGTCTTTTCCCTGAAATACTTAACTGTGAGAACATAAACACCAAACACATCGACCAAATTTGTTAATTGCCGAAGACGTCCCCACCCTCACTTGAGCTAGGATTAGGATCTTTTAGCTCAGGCTTCCTGAGTACTGGAATTAACAGGCCATGACCACTTTATCAGGTGTCTTCCTCATTTTGTTTTTTAAATAAACTAGTAAAATAGCTAATGAAAGTATTTTAGTTATTATTTTAGACCTCCTCCATTATTGTTAAAAGTAGTTTGAGGAGAAACTATAGCCTAAAGTGTCTTGGGTGGCCTTGAATTTAAGACTGACTGGTTTGACTCGACTGAGAAAATTGTTTAAAGGTACTGTTAAAATGTACCTTAAGTGTCTAAATAAATCCTGTGTAATGTACTTGCCACCCTTTCAGTTGAGGGACATTCTGTCGTGTGGATAATATTTTCATTTTAACAGTGTTGGGGTTGTACAGATTACTTTTTGTTGGTAACTTAAACTAGCAGTCCTTGCTGGGCAGTGGTGGCTCACGCCTTTAATCCCAGCACTTGGGAGGCAGAGGCAGGCGGATTTCTGAGTTGGAGGCCAGCCTGGTCTATAGAGTGAGTTCCAGGACAGCCAGAGCTGCAAAGAGAAACCCTGTCTCAAAAATCCAAAAAAAGAAAGAAAAAAAACAAAGCAGCCCATTTCTGCATAGTTTGCCTCATTTCGTCTAGCTAGCTCATTTTAATGTCAGACATAATGGGGTTATGTAGAGGAAGTATAACTGGCACATTTCTCCATAGATAGGATTGAATTGATAAGCTTGAGGCAAGTATTCAGCTCTCTTGGAAAATTTTGTCTAGAGTTGGCAACTTTTCTTGGGTGACACAGTCCACAGTGTTGGAAATATGAGTAGTTTTCCTACCCATTTAATCTTGTTGATTGATGCTGGAGGTTGAACCCAAGACCTCACTTATGCTAAGGATGGACTTCACTACTGTGCTCTATCTTAGTAAATAGAGCATCCCCATAATTAAATTTAATATGTCTCTTCTAGAGAGTTGTTTGGAGCTAGGTCTTTTACTTCAATCTGCTTGGGGAGAGTTTCTAGACATTTTTTGGTTAAGGTTATGTATATGTAGCTCTTTAACTTAGGTAGAAATTTAGACAGGTTTAGAAACAAGCAACTTAATGTGTAATCATAGCCATTTCAATTTGTCAAGGGTTAAACCAAGAGCTACTTCAATGATGTGTATATTTCCTGTGTCAAAACACAGCTCATGGACTACCTGTCCTGTCAGAGAGCTACTTGAGTCCTTGGTTTGGAGTTTTGTTTCTTGTTTTTTGGGTTTTTTTTTTTTTTGTTTTTTGTTTTTTTTGTTTTTTCTTTTTTTCCCAGATAAGCTACCAGAGTGCACGTGACTCACGAATGGTACCTTTGTGGAATTGTTCCATTTCAGCTAGTCAGTGAAAAAGAAAAATTTTAGTATGTATGGTTTAATTGATATTAACTTACACAATTTGTTTGCTTAGAATGAATCCAAAGTAGGGAGAAAGCATCACTCATCTAAACACTAGCAATTTGTATAATGATTTACAAATTGAAAGGGCTGAGGCTGGAGAGATGGCTCAGTGGTTAAGAGCAGCCAGTGCTCTTCCAGAGGACCTGGGTTCAGTTTCCAGCACCTGTATCGCAGCTCAGAACTGTCTGTAACTCCAAGATCTGACACGTCCATACAGCCATACATGCAGGCAAACACCATTGCATATAAAATAAAAATAAATTATTTAAAAAATCAAAGGGATTTTCTTATTTAAAAATGTTTGTTCATTTATTCATTATAATTCATACTACTAAAGATATTCACAGTATTAGTCAACAGTCATTCAACATTTGTTTTCCACAGTTTTAAAATACAAAATGTCTTAGTAAGCTAAGTTGCTGAATTCCAGCAGTTGGGATGCAGAAGCAGGAGTATCCCCCCGGGAGTTAAAGTAGAGGTTTGAAGTACTCCTGAGCTACATACACAGTGAATTTCAGACCAGCCAGGATTGCATAGTGATACTCAGTCCACAAAACAAACACAAGCAAAATGTCTCAATAAATTGAAAGTAGAGATCCTTGGTTAAAAGTTTCAGATGCTAAATTAGTTGGAGTTTAAAGAACATTCGATACTTATGAATTAAATGTTAATAGTCAGTGATAGATTTTAACACTCATATTTGCTTGAAATAATTTTCTAGTGATCCATATTTAGAATTACAAATATTTTAATAACAATCAGTAGTAATATATTTGTCTGCTGTTTTCCCATGTTAGTCCATTGTTTTAATTGCTTTTTTCCTCAATGCTTTGTGTATTTTGCTGCGTTGCTCAGAGGGTTATATGAAGACAAAACAACCAACCTATGTGCCACATTGAACCTGCTTATACTAAGAAATGAAGCCAATACTGTGTTCACCTTCTTCACTCCCTGCTCTGTATCTTGTGAACAGAAGATGCTATCCAAATACATTCATGGAATTATTTTAAAGATTGCTTAAAATTATTTTTGTTGTTTTTAAGATAGGTTCTCACTGTGTAATTCTGGCTCAAAGAAATCATCCTGCCTCTGCCTCTCAAGTGCTGAGATTAAAGGCATGAGCCTCCACACCTGGTACACAAAATTATTTTTAATCACATGTCTGTATGTGGATGTGTGCAAATAAATACAGGTGCCCAGGAAGGCCAGAAGAGTTGGATCCCCCAGAGCTGGAGTTACAGGAATTGTGAGCTGCCTTGTGTGGGTGTTGGGGCTCTAACTAGGGTCCTCTGGAAGATGAGTAAGCTCTCTTAACTGCCGAGCCATCTGCTGATAAACAGATGTCTTCATATAAGACATTTATGAAGACTTTATATGTTCATATAAGAGTACAGAATATAATGGTTGATGCCAGTTCCTGCTTAAGTATACTTGATTAGGTTTGCAAATAAAATGCAGAGGACATTGTCTCTAGTCCAAACTGTGTAGAATGTCCTTTGGTCCATAGTGGCCTCACACGAGGCTCCTGACTTGTCACCAGTTTAAGAAATTCTGTTTTAAATTGAGTTCTCAGTTACTGGAAAGTAGTCTTTCGTTCTTTTAATTCAGATACTCTTACATATAAACAAATGAATAGCACCTCAGGAAACTATTCAGTGCTACCTCTGCCTCATGGAAATCCACAAACTAGAGCCCCAATCCAAAGAAAGTAGTTTATTTATTCATTGTGTACCAAATCAGATACTCTGTTCAAAGTGCTTGTTGTTGAATTAGCATGGTACGATTAGCAATCCTACGCTCCCAGGTACCCTGGAGATGGAGCAGGATGTGTACAAGTTACAGGAGTGTCTGGCCTTGGGGGCAATATAGCTAGACTCTGGAAATGAGAAAACTATTTGGGCATATAGGTCACTTATAGAACTTAAGTATTTAAATAGTCTGTGCGAGGCCTTGTGTTCAGTCCTCAGTGCCACAAAGCACTAATTAACTTAAAAGTGTGTCATTACCAAACTGCATGGATCTAGATTTGTAGTCTTGAGCCTTTGATTCTTTTACTGTGTTTGACACTCCCCCCAACCTCCATTCTCGCTTTGCTCCATTTTCTCATTGAACTTGCCAAGGCAGTCACTTAGAGCAGGTTCTGTTTCTCTACAAGTAAGTTTGAATTGTCACAGAATGTATCCCGTAGGGATCTGTAGAGCTGAAGAGAGGAAAAAAAAAAAAATCAGCCGGTCTTTTCATTCTTTCCAGTATATTCTTAAATAGTCTTATTTATTAACAAACCTAAGATACTCAAGACATGAAATCATTATTGACTTAAACACATACAAGCAAAGTTGTTGGAGACATCTTGTTTTCTACATCTGTATATATCTATGTACTTTCTTGGAAATTAAGATTAGGTCTTAATTTATGAGAAAATATGTACGTGAAAGTCTGACTTGGAATAGCTCTTATAGGTAGCTTAAAACAGGTGCTAGACCAGCTTTCAGAGTAGGGTTAACTCTCAAAAAATTACCTTGAAGTTTTTTCAACTCGAAAGGTTGAGGAATTTTGTATGTTGAGTAACATCACTTACAAACATACCTTAGCTAGGGACCAGCCAGGGTGTAGCTCAGTGTAGAATGTTTGTCTTGTATATGCAAAGCCATGGGTGTTCAGTATGGTGAAGGAGGGAAGAAAAGTCTGTGGACTGAATTCTCAGTGGCCCTGGTGGTCATGTTCATGACTAGACATTTTGTGTGATTAGGACTACATTACTGAGAATATTACAATTTATTAGCCAGATGTTTTTGTATTGCCACATGTAGAATTGTTGATCTCAATTTCTGAACATCATAATTCCACAAATGTAACCAAGATTAATGTACAATTAATAAGGTAATGTTTAGCTGACGGGTATTTACTCTTTGTGAACTCTGTGTTTATAATTTTAAATTGCTCTGTATTTTATGCTAGTTAATTCATGGGAGCCTCTTGTACTGCCACACAATCTCAGTTCCTGCTGTCCACTCTAGCAAGCAGTGAAGAGACTGTTGGGTCAGTAGGTGACAGCTGCAGAGGTATCTTCCTTGTAAAGATGCTTTTTGAGGTTGCTGCTCCCATCAGTCTGCTCAGTAAAAATAGCTCATCTTGGTAAGTTGTTTCGACTTCACCAGGACCTGAAGAAGAAGCAGAAAAACCTGTGAAAACTAAGACTGTTTCTTCCAGTAATGGAGGGGAAAGTTCCAGTCGCAGCGCTGAAAAGCGATCAGCTGAAGACGAAGCTGCAGACCTCCCAACAAAGCCTACAAAGATGTCCAAGTTTGGATTTGCCATAGGTAGTCAGACGGCAAGGAAAGCATCCGCCATCTCCATTAGACTCGGAGCAAGTGTGAGTTGTTTTCTGTGTGCTTTTGTCATTACAAAGATTAGTTTCATCAGTCGTGTGTGTGTGTGTGTGTGTGTGTGTGTGTGTGTGTGTGTGTATAGAGTATATATAGTAAAGCAAGTGTTAAAAGGTAAACTGCTGTAACTGGCTATGAACTTACATGTAAGTCAAAAAGTAGTGGACACATTAGGAAAGGCCTATGAATTTTATCAAAGCAGTTGAAGAAAAAGAATTGTAAAGAATGCAAGATTTATAAAGTAATCACTTAGGACTTTTCTTAGTTGAACAAAATATTGAGAATTTTAGAAAACCTTTGTTTTGTTTTGTTTTTTCCAGACAGTTTCTCAGTGTAGTCCTGGCTGTCCTGGAACTCACTCTGTAGACCAGGCTGGCCTTGAACTCAGAAATCCGCCTGCCTCTGCCTCCCAAGTGCTGGGATTAAAGTTTAGAAAACCTTTTACCACTAGTATATTAAAAGTAAGAATTAGAATTGTGCTGGAGCTCTGCTGTAGCGTATGTGCTTAGCCTTTGAGAGGCCTTGGAGTCAATACCTAGCATTACCTACCTCCAAATCAGAGTAATGACTATAAATCAGCTTTTTGTAACTTAAAGGATTAATGTAGTAAGTTAGTCCTGCTAAGAATTTTCTGGTTATCTAGTTATGTTTTTTGTTTGCCTGTTTGTTTGTTTGTTTTCTAATTTATAAAGGTCAGATGCAAATGGTTTTATTTATGCCATAGATGTTCATTTCAGAGATTTTTTTTAATGAAAAATTTTAATTTTCAATCATTTTCTCACTAGAGTCTGTTTGAACTTTCTCTAAATTACAAGAGCAGCCATTTCTCAGAACTCCCAATTCCCACCATGGAATCTCTCTCCCCCCCCCTTTAAAAAAAATCTGAGTCTAAACAAAAAGATTATGACATTTTTATTTTGTTAACATTTTTCTCTATGTCCTATAGTTCTTGATGTGTAATGTTTAAAAATCACATAGACCTAACTACATAAATACTTGATTTCTTGAAAATAATATTTTTATTTTCTATTTTAATTTAAATATACATTGTATGTTTATATAGTGTCTTGATCATTTGACTTGACCCTATTTAACTTTTTTAAACATTAAACATGTGCTCATGTAAGTCTCATCTGCTTGGGCATACTCTGAGTCCAGTTCCTTCTTTTTCTAAATAATTGATGGGATTCAATAGTTATTAAGTGGTTGAGTTAGGTTCAGAAAAACCTATTCAGTAAAGTTTAAGTTGGGAAAACGAAAATCACAGGCTTTAGGACCAAGTCTTAAAGGACTGCATATCATAATAAAGAGTCTCAAGAATAAAGCCCGTTGGTGTCTTAAGGACATCGCTAGTTTGAGAAAGAATGCGAAGGGGTGTGAATGGGTCGTATCCCCTCTCCTTCAGTGTTGAGAACTGAAGCCAAGGACTCGTTATAAATGCTCGACAGTCTCTGTCACTGAGCTTCATATCCCTGACCTTGGCATATGCTACTTCTCGTAGTTGTCCTGTTGGGTCATGCTAAGGGTCTGAGATTGGAAGGTAGTGGGTTAATATCATGGACATAGGGAGAAAAATAGGAGTGTGTAATAAGGATCTGAGCAAAAGGACCTTGTAAGACAAAGGAAAAGTTTTCAAGCTTGAGTACTTAAAAACATTAATCGCTGGTGACCCTGGGGCATGTTGCAGTGGAAGGGAGAAGAAACAGGTGGTGACAAGACTAAATGGGACAGTGAGAAGAACAGAGGTTGACCAGGAAGAAGGATGGAAAGGAATCAACCCGTAGACAAAGTCAGTGTGATGCTCCCTGCATTCTAAAGGCACTGTGGTCCTTGCAGGATGCTGTGGGGCCGACAGCATTTCTAGTCATTAATTTCTTCCGCACCCCTTAGCTTAACTAATAGTAAATTGCAGATCCTAATGAGAGTTTTTTTTAATAAACAAAAGCTATTGGATATACAAAATTAATAAGTAAAACCTACCTACCAGTAACTCTTATTTTCAAAGATATAATGAATTTGCCCAAAATACCGAGTTCCTTACTGTGTAAGCTTATAAAAACAAAATGGATAAAATTGAACTTTGTAAGAGCAATTACTATTTTATTAAACAAGGCTGTATAAGCTTTATTTGTGATAATTCTGTTAAATGTTTCTTTTTCAGAAGCCTAAGGAAACAGTTCCAACTCTTGCTCCAAAAACTCTTTCGGTGGCAGCAGCTTTCAATGAAGACGAAGACGTAAGCTAATACCTATTTTATTTTACTTTATTTTTAAAGACTGTGTGTGCATGAAAGGCACGTGTGCCATTGTATGCAGGGGGAAGTCGGGACACCTTTTGGGAGTCAGTTCTATCCTTCCATCTGGGGTCCAGGAAATGTCTCAGGGTTGGCAGGCTTGCATGGCAAGCTGTTTTACACACTAAACCTCCACTGGCCCTTAGTTTTACGTTAACTAGTCCTTCTAAGAAGATAATAGCAGATGGAGAGATGGCTCAGTGGTTAAGAACATGCACTGTTCTTCCAGAAGACCAGAGTCTGATTCCTGATACCCACATCAGGTGGCTCGCAAACACCTCTAAATCCAACTCCAAGGAATCCAGGTCCTTTGGCTTGCACAGGCACCTACACACACATGCAAAGATCAGTACAACACACATTCGTACCCATGTATAGAATTAAAAGTAATAAAGTTTTTTTAAAAGAGAAGAAGAAATTAATAGAAAATTAGAGTTTGTATTAATGGCGGTTAAATTGATAATAGTGAAATAGTGTTGGTAAAATTTCTTTGAATGCCTAAGAAAATTGAATTTCTTTTTTTGAAGTGCTAGGTACCGAGTTTGGTGCCTTGTAAAATGCCAGGCAGCTGTTGTGCCCCTGAGGTACAGACCCAAAACTAAAAATTTAATGTGTCTATTGATACAAATATATGTCTATAAAAATTGGTAATTTTATAGAAAATTGCAAGAAACTTAAGAGTCAAGTCAAATGTTTATAATAATACATACTAGGAAGTATATGAGTTAGTAATGAATATGCCACCATGCCTGGCTCTATGAATTCTCTTTTTGATGTGTATGTGTGTGTACACATATACATATCTGTGTTACACATATTCATTCAAATGTAGAGAGATCAGAAAACAACTCGTGTAGTTAGTTCTTCAACTCTGGGTCCCTCAGATGGATATAGACTGTGACATGGTGGCAAGCACCTTTCCCCACTAAGCTGTCTCACCAGCCCTCTCACACTTGGCCTTCAGTATTGTTGCTATCAATAACTTTATAGTTGGTCTTCAGTGATGGCCCTTGTGCTTGTTACAAAAAGCAGCTGTGGAATGCTGCAGGGTGCATCTGTAACAGGAATAACAGTGCAAGTGATTGCACCAGAGCTTTCTCTCCTGAGAGTGCTCCAGGGTGAGCTCAGGGTATCTACTCTGCTGTCTGTCCCAGTTCTCGTGTGCCCCTTAGAGTGTTGATATCCCACCATGCTCAAGGGTGATGAGTGAATTTCCCAGAGTTTTTTTCTTTGTGAAAGATAAGCTCTCACATATCTCAAACTGACCGGCCTGGAACTGGGTATGTAGCTAAGGATGGCTTTCAGTTTCAGATCCTCTGGCCTCTACCTCTCATGCACTGGGACCACAAATATGCACCACTGTATCCAGTTTCATTTCATTTCTTTGTTTTCTGAGACAGGTTGTCTGTGTATCTCTGGCTGTCCTGGAACTCTCTCTGTAGACCTGGCTAGTCTCAAACTCATATAGATCCTCCTGCCTCTGCCTTCCAAATTCTGGGACTAAAGGTGGTGTGCCACCTTGCCTGGCCTTACCCAGTTTTTATGTGGTGTGGAGGATCAGACCTGGCTAGAGCATTGTGCATATTACGCAAGCTAGGATTAAAGGCATGGGATACTGCATCTGGCCATTTTGTTTTGTCTTGTCTTGTCTTTGAAGCAGGGACTCTGATAGCGAGGCTAACTATTAGAACTCACTAGGTAGCTGAGAATAGTCTTGAACTTCTGATATTCCTACCATTCTACCATACCCAGCTGAGGAAACTTTTGGATATAAAGTCCAGAAGGGAAAGATAACAGAAAGTAGGGAAAGTATGTAAATGAGAACTGTTACTGCCTGTGTTGTAGTAGTGCTGCATGTGAGATGTGTTAACACCCTGGCTGCCTCGTTCTCTGTGTGCTCCTTTGCAGTGTGTATCAATTCATCTTTGCAAATGGAGAATTGTACCTAAGTAAACACAACCTTAGGCTAGAGCTTTGTTGCTCAAAGCTATACACCATGATTAATTTCAAGAAATTTGGAGTTTTATCTGTAGCTGGCCTTGAACTCGCAAAAAAATATGCCAGCTTCTGCCTTCACCTCCTGAGTACTAGCACCTGACTCTTATAATTTTGTTTGCCTTTTTGTTTTATTTTTTATTATGGCTTTAAAATATTTTAGTGAAAGAGGCTGGAGAGATTGTTCTTACAATGGGTAAGAACACTTTCTCTTATCCTAGGACCTCAATGTTCTAGCACCTGTGTCTGGCAGCTGTAACTGAGGCTACAGGGAGTCTGTGGCTTCTGCCCTCTCAGGGCACCTATGCCTACCCCCCACACACACACATACACAAAATAGAGTCAATTTAAATTTTTCTCTTGTGAATAGATATTTTGGCATTTTTTTGAACCATTTATGCATAGACACGTTGGCAGGGTCCATGTCTTGCCAGTGTGAAAAGTGCCAGTGAACATGAAGTTCTGTCCCTTTGACTAGTTAGCATATGAGAGTTACTTTTCTCTTTATCCTACCCAGTATAGCTCTGATTTAAGTGTGTGTGTGTGTGCTCTGAGAGCAGGTGCTTATACACATGTGCATATACGTGTGAAGGCCAGAGCTCAACATCGGGTGTCTTTTCAGTTAGGCTCCACCTTAGTTTTTTTGTCTTTTCTTTCCTTCCTTCCCTTTCCCTTCCTTCCTTCCTTTCTTTCTTTCTTTTTTTTTTTTTTTTAAAACAGGGCCCTGTTGGCTTGGAACTTGATAATTCAGTTAGACAGGCTGGCCAGCAAGGCCCAGAATCCTTCTGTCTCCACCTCTCAGGTACCAGTACTATAGGTGTTTCTGCCTATACCTAGTATAGTTGGGGATTGAACTCAAGTCCTCATGCTTATTGACTGAGCCATCTCCTCAACCCCAAGATTTTATATACATATATACGTGTGTGTGTGTGTGTGTGTGTGTGTGTGTGTGTATATGAAAAGATAATATAGTAATTGTTAAAGGAAATTGTTAAAGTTCACTACCTTTCTCCTTTTATGGCATTAAAACATGTTATGGATTAAAAAAAAAGATTAGCCTCCTTAGTCACCGAGTGACTTAATAGTTTAACTGTACTCATTTCTATTTCCCTGTCCTGCAGAGTGAGCCAGAAGAGATGCCTCCAGAAGCAAAGATGAGGATGAAGAATATTGGAAGGTGCCATGCTTTCATATTACCCTAGAGCTGTAGGGAAAGCAAGGGGGAAGAATGCATTACACATTTTACACGGACCCGTGGTCTCCATGTTCAAATAAATGCAGTCCCAGTGACTCTGTCATTACTAGAACTTAAATAAACATACCTGATACTAGTACCAGTCCAAATGAAGTATATACACACAGACACACACACACACACACACACACACACACACACACACACACACTTCTATTATATTTATTTTTGAGACAGGGTCTTACTATGCAGCCCTAGCTGTCCTAGAGCTCACTATATAGTCTAGGCTGGATTTGATCTCGAAGAGATCCACCTGCCTCTGCCTCCAGAGTACTGGGATTAAAAGTGCACCATCCCGCATACACATCTGAAACAGTAGTTTACATAAAACTTTGACACTGCATGTTCTCTTTTACACATCTTTGGATTTTTGTTTCATGTTCACAAATGCTCGTGATAAGCCACCAAATTAATTTTTAACCTTATTTGTGGGTTTTAGATCACTTTTGCAACAGATTTTCTGTTTGCTGCAGTACTGGGAATACCATTCCAGATAAGAATTCCACAAGAATTCTGTGGCTGAGATCGTTCTCAACTCTCAGCAGTCGTTTTAGAGCCCTAACGGCATCTACTCTTACTGTATGTTACCTTCCCTTATCTGTGTGTTGAGAACTGCACACGGATGGTGGAGTGTAGCTCAGGGCTAGAGCTCTTGGCTAGGATGCACTTGTCCCTAGGCTCTTCTCGGTCCTGCAAAGGAGAACACCATGGTGGGCCTGAAGGTGATTGCCTATGGGCCTGACTCACACTCAGAGGGCAAGGGGCAGGTGGAGTGCCCAGGCTCTCCTGTCTACTCTTATCCTCACTGCATACATACATAGTGAAATGAGGTCTTAACCCTTTATAGAAAGAGCATTCAAAAGATCTCTGTAGGAGCTTCTGCTCTTCAGCCTGTAGTACTTATGAGTGCTAAGCAAATGTATATTAATATGTTTAAGATAGACCACTACAATAATTTGAGTAAATTGAATTTCTTTTAATACAGGGACACACCAACATCAGCCGGACCAAACTCCTTTAATAAAGGAAAGCATGGCTTTTCTGATAACCAGAAGCTGTGGGAGCGAAATATAAAATCTCATCTTGGAAACGTCCATGACCAAGACAATTAAGTGAAGAGTTCTGAGATTGGGGTGTGGGTGGGTGCAGTTAGAAGGAGCAGTCTCCTTTTTGTAAAGAATGGTGTAAGACTAGCTTTGGAGCCGTTTTTCTTTCTTCTTTTTTTCTTTTCCTTTTTTCTTTTTTTAAAAGATTGAGTGGTACACTAATAAATGAGAGTTTGCAATTAGAGGTAATTTATGTTTTATATACAGATTTCAAGACATTTGCTAATTTTGTAGTTTCACATGATTAGTTTCCAAGGGTTACAGATAATAAAGAAATCAGAAGTGGTACCTTTCTAAGAATTGCATATTTTTTTAGATACAACTATTAGCACATTAAGAGGGAAGCCAAAAGTTACTGTCTCTGACTCTCCCCTCATAACCTGAGTGTCTGGCTCCCTGGAACAGCCTTACCGAGAGGGAGTATTGGATTGTTACTGGACTATTGACTGAGAGTAAATTTAGATAAGGTTAGAATGAACCTTTTCCTATGGGCATTTCATTTTGTTCTGGGCCATTATATGCTAGTACTGCTTCGCTCGCAGTGGGTACAGACGCTTTGCTCTGTAAACAATTTTTTTGTTGTTGTTAAACATTCTTATATGAAGTATTGAGTATTATAATTAGCCCACTTTAATGGAGCTTGTCTCTGTTCAGGATTCTTCAAAGGACACTATTTGCTACCAAAGTAAATCAGTATTTTGAATGTGCTTCTCTTGGTTTCTATTCTAGTTCCTATAAGCATTTCCACCAGAACTTGAGGCAAAACATAAGGAACCTGTTTCTTTTAAAGTACAAATACCACCAAAAATATCAGTGTACTTACTGCTTTAAGTATTTGGCTGGCTTTTATTTTTTAAAAGGTTTAAATACCAAAAGGAAAAGAGGTATAACATTGTATGAAGACAGATGAGGCAACACACCTTCTGTGACTTTTGAAGCATTTAAGTTACTAACTTACTAGAAGATTTCTTATTTGTACAACTTCATGGCTTATTTTAAGTACATACATACTGGGCAGTGGTTTCAAAAGCACATGTAGTGACTGAGATGGGACAGAAATGCTTCTTTAGGCACATGTTCATTGTGAGTCTCTCACCGCCCAGGCTCTTAGAGTTCTGTATGTAGGATGTCTGTTTTGTATTTTTGTATTGTATATGGGCTTTTTAAATGTGACAGTTAAATGCATCTTTAATAGTCACAGACAAAAGAAATGATAAAATGTCCTTGAAAATTACAATGTTAAATTTGGAGGCAGCTTTGGTGAGTTTCATGGGTCGTGATAATTCACTAGGCAGTTTTAATGTAATGACTTCCAAGAAGCAGCCTGCGGATATTCCTAACACTTCATTCACTACACTTTCGTTTACTTAATAAGCCCCAAGTAAAACGATGGAAATGTACATAGCACTATTAGTTCATACATGATTTAAGTATATCAAGATACATAAATTTAACTTTTATGTCTGCAAACTGTCCATTTGTCCATTTTACTGTTTGTTGAAATAACACCTCTCCTACATATTCTTTACTTGACTTAAATAACATTTAACCTGAGGTCAAGATGGAGAGAGATGACTGAGCTGAATGTCTTTACTAAAATTACAATAAATTTTGTCAAACTTGGTGTTGGTCTTATTTTCGATTTTATTTTTTACTGCGTCTTTGAAAAAACGTTTTAAAAAGTATTCTGTGTATTTGGCTTGCTGGTGGGGTCAGGGAGACACAAAACATTGTGAAAAATGTCACCATTTAGAAGTGTGTTCCCAGAACCTCTTACATACCATACCGTTCATTAGTCGTCAGAATAAGTGTGTGAGCATCATCTGTTACTCTACCTCACACTGGTAGGCAGATTCTCACATTCCATTTAACATGCTCTTACACACTCGGACCTAGAGGAACTGCGTGGTAAGCTCTGGAGTTCTCATGACTCTCCCTTTACTCGTGTATTTATTGTGCGTGCCCACACACACCTGCCATTGTACACGTGTAGTTTGGAGCACAATCTGAGGGATTCTGTGCTTTTTTTTTTTACTCTCCATATACTTCATCTCAATTGCAGGTTTTTCTTCCCTCCATTCCTAGTCCTTCCCCCACCTCCCTTCTTCCTCATATTGATTCCTCCTGTCTTCCTACAAAAAAGGAGCAAGCCTCCTAGGGATAACCTTTGAATGTGGCCTAATTGTCAGAATTCTTTTTGTTATTTTTGGGTTTTTTGACTGGGTTTCTCTGAGTAGCTCTGGCTCTCCTGGAACTCACTTTGTAAATCAGGCTGGTCTCCCAAGAGACCTCTGCTGGGATTAAAGGTGTGCACTGCTACCAGCACCTGGATGTCAAAGGATTTTCAAGCAGTGAATTAAAGGACTAAACCTAAGAAATCTATGGTGTAGAGGTATCAGATGTAGGAAGAGAATACTATCCTTGGGTTAGGGAAAAGGACAACTGAGTGAGAATAAGAAAATGTAATGTTAGGGAAGAAGGTGGAGACCTTTCCATTTCAAGCATGGTTGCCTAGAATGCAAAAGGCTTGGGTTTGACAGCCAGTACTGTAAAACCCCAGACACTGCAAGTAATGCATATCTGGAATCCCAGAACCTGGGCTGTAGAACAGAAATAGTAAAAGCTCTTGAAGCCAGCCTGGATCACAAGGACCCATCTTGGTCAAGGAGGTGCTAATACTATTACATTTTATTTTATTGCTTCCTGTTTAATCCTGTCCTATGTTGACCTGGGTAGCTGAGAGAAATGAGAGTTGTCTCTAAACTGAGTAGATCAGCTCTGAGCTACAGTTCACATTGAGCACTGGCCTTGAAGCACATCGAAATGGCCAGCTACCTAATTACCACACATAAACACAGAACTCTGAACATTGTTTAAAAGTTTCAAACAACTTGCATGTTTCAAGTTGGTCTTTCAGCTAAATTGCTGGTGGTGGCCTTGAACTCTGAGCTTCATACCTGCTAAGTATTGTGACTACACTGCATACATATGTAGTTTTATCAAAATCCTACTTAGAGACTGCCCAGGACTTCATACAGGGCAAATACTCCACTATCTGAACAGCCAGTGCCCTCCTGTGCACATTTCTCGGCATGGCTTAGTTTTCTGAGATAGTCTATTAAGTCTTGGCAGTCCTGGAACTTGCTGTGTAGACTAGGCTAGCCTCCAGTTTACAGATTCCCCTGCTTAGCCTGTGTATATTTGTTACACGTTAATACTAATGTGCTATCATTCAAGGTCTTGGTTTTCTGCTTTTCAGAGATAATATCCACTTTGGGGACATTTCATTTACATACCCATTAAATTCACATTATTGTCTCAGGGTTTCTATTGCTGGGAAGAGACATCATGACCAAGGCTCTTATAAAGGAAAAACATTTCATTGGGGCTTGCTAACAGTTTCAGAGGTTTAGTCCATTGTCATGGTGAGAAGCATGGCAGTGTCTAAGCAAACATGGTGCTAGAGAAGGAGCTGAGAGTTCCCCATCTTGAGCCACAGGTAGTAGAAAGGAGACTGTGCCACACTGGGCATGGCTTGAGCATAGGAGACCTCAAAGCCAGCCTCCACACTGGCTACTTTCTTCAACTAGGCCACACCTCCTAACGAGCTGCTCCCTTTTGGTCAAGCATTCAAACACAATCTGGGGGCCATTCCTATTCAAACCACGTTTGTAAAAGTAACTCCTGAGAGGAATTAAAATGTCTGTTGGGAATCCTGCTATTTGAGGTCAAAGTCTACCATATCTAGATATGTCCCCTGAATTGGGCTGCACAAAATGGAGGACTTGCTTTTCCAGCAAGGCTTCCTCTTCTCTACCTTATCAAGGGAGCCCATCCCCTACACTACCTGAGGAATATCACATAATCCTTGGAGGAAATTACAGGTTCAACTTCCTGGAACACCTCTCTATGCAAATGAGGCATCCCTAGAACCTTGATCCTCAGTCAATGAAACTTCACCCTGAGTACAAACACCTTCCCACTTTCCATGGTTTACATAGTCCTTGTTCACACCAATCAAGAGCATAAGCTGTTCTGAGTTAAGAGAACTGTTTTCTTTTTCAAAGGTTTATTTAAAGTTTATGTATATGAGTACACTGTAGCTGTCTTCAGACACACCAGAAGAGAGCATCAGATCCCATTACAGATGGTTGTGAGCCACCATGTGGTTGCTGGGAATTGAACTCAGGACCTTTGGAAAAGCAGTCAGTACTCTTAACTGCTGAGCCATCTCTCCAGCCCAAGAGAACTGTTTTCTAAAAGAACTGTAACTGAAATCTCTGGAGGAGGGCCACCAACCCCACCCTCACATTCACTGCTGGACCACCCATTCTGGACTTCTCCTTTCTCACCCAGTGTATACCAGGGACCAGACACCCCAAGGGAAGAAAGCAGACCTGAGAACTCGGCTTTGCTCCATCCTTCCCTGCTGGTGTGCAGCAGCACCTGGACAGGAAGAATGAAACCACAGTAGTCCTATCTGGACATATTAGCAAGTTCAGGAAATAAATTCAAATTTGCTAGGCCTGGTGGTGTACACCTTTAATCCTAGCTAACACTCAGGAGGAACAGGCAGGGAGATCTTTGTGAGTTCAAGGCCAGCCTGGAAAAAATAAATCTTGTCTCGAAAAAAAAGAAAATGGAGCTAGAGACATGGCTCAGTGGTTAAGAGAGCACTGGCTGCTCTTCCATGGGGCTGAGTTTGATTGCCAGCAACCATGGTGGTTCACAAGTCTCTAACTCCAAGAGGATCTGATGTCTTCTGGCCTGTACCAGCACCAGGCATACATGGGGTACATGGTCAGACATTCAGGCAGAACATATACATAAAGTAATGAAATTCTTTCAAAAATCGATTTAAAAAGATACCAATTTTCTCAAGACTTGTTTAAAGTCACTGTAAGTATAGGCAGAATACAAGTATAGTTTTCCTCCAGTGATTGAGATGGTAATCCTAAAGTTTATATAAGAGAATAAATACTCAAGGCAAAAATGAAATAACAAAGGGGAAGCTAGGCATGCTGACATAGGCCTTTAATACCAGCACTTGCCAGAGACAGGTGGATCTCTTCTCAGTTCAAGGCCAATGGGATCTAGCTAGTGAGTTCCAGGTCAGCCAGGGGGGGCTACATAGTATTTCAAGAACAACCCTTCCCCTCAAAAGCAGAAGGACTTAACTCCGATGTCAAAATTAGCTTAAACCTAAGACTTTGTTGTTGATGCTCAGAGATGGGAAAAGGGCAAAGCTGAATAGCTATGTCAATAAAAGCCCATCCGGGTGTGGGCACCTCTCTAGCTGTCACACACACACACACACACACACACACACACACACACACACACACACACACAGCGCCCCTAATTGTTAGATTTTTTTTCTTGTTTGAGACAAGGTTTGTCTGTTTCTGTGTAGCCCTGGCTGTCCTGGAATTTGCTGTGTAGACCATGCTGGCCTCAAAATCAGAGATCTGCCTGCCTCTGCCTTCCAACTGCTAGGCTTAAAAAGGTGTGCACCACCACTCCCTCAACACATAATTGTACAAATTCAACTCATCCGAAGTTGGCAGTTATTTGCTTTCCCATTAATTTTGTCATAAAAGCAAACTTCTGAGTAAGAAGTTTTAATACAAAATTAAAAGCAAGCTTCTGAGTAAGAAGTTTTAATACAAAATTATTTCTCCTAATTAAAAAAAATAATTTATTTACTTAATGTGAGTACACTGTTTTTCTCTTCAGAAACACCAGTAGAGGGCATCAGATCCCACTACAGATGGTTGTGAGCCACCATGTGGTTGCTGGGAATTGAACTCAGGACCTCTGTAAGAGCAGTCAGTGCTCTTAACCACTGAGCGCCATCTCTCCAGCCCCCAATGGTTATACATGTGTTTAATTTCCTTACTCTAGGACTGGGAAGATCACAGTGTAGGTAAAACATTTACTTCCAAGAATGAAGACCTGGGCTTAGATTTCCAGAACACACATAAAATCTGGGCAGGGTAAAGTGCATCTATTGTTATACCAGTGTTAACATGGGTGAGGCATGAGTATGCATGGGGATTTCAGGCCAGGCATCTAAGAGCCAAACAGCAAGTTCCTGATTTTTGTTTTTTGAAGCTATTTGTTTATTTATTTATATGCACACTTGTTTGTTGGCTTACATGTATGTCATGTGAGGGAGTCAGATCTACTGGAACTAGAGTTATAGACAGTTTTGAGTCACCATGTGGATTCTGGGAATTGAACCTGGGTCCTCTGGAAAAGCAGCCGATGCTCTTAACCACTGAGTCATCTCTCTAGCCCAAGCTTGTGGTTTAGTGACATACTTTTAAGGAAATAAGGTGGATGGATGTTCAGCAAGATAACTATGCCATAAAAACCTGCCACAAAGACTAATGACTTGAGTTCAATCTTTGGGACCCACACGTTGAGAAGAGAATCCAATCCCACAAGCTGTCCTCAGATCTCTACAAGAATTCGGCAAGTGTGTGCCAACACACACACACAAATTTAAAGTGTGATAGAGGGAGGGAGGGAGGGAGGGAGGGAGGGAGGGAGGGAGAGAGAGAGAGAACAATAAAGATAGCAGATAAGGTTAAGGTTAACCCCTAGCTTCCACACTTACAC